TCATTCTGTACTCTTTAATATCTGGTGCATGTGTTTTTAATTTGAATTAGTAGATGTATGTGTTAGACCAGAAGAGACATGCTTGTGGCTTTAGATCTACAAGCATTTGTTTCCCAGTCATACAGCAGAGTTGCACAACATGTGTGTGCAAATAAGAGGAAAAAGAACATGACTTAAAAGCTTGTTCTTCATCACTCTAGCAATCCATTACTTGGTTCACATTTTTCATCTCTTTCCTGTTCTTTGATTGTGGATAACATGATTACCCTACGACATGACTTTTAGACTTCAACCTACTGGTAGGAATGAACTAGTTAAAGAGGCTGTTTTCTCTCATAGTTCAAGTGTTCATTCCACCTATTTCTTCCAGCTGAGTTTGTTTACTTTGGTGAATCTGCTACTCTTAAAACTTATTTGCTGACTCTTGAAGATTACACTTTCCTATGGCATCATCTACTAGAACTGATTTAACCAAACGTATCACTCACAGAGGAAAACTATTGCCAGTTTGTGTGAAAATACTGAAATACTGGTCCTGCCATCTTCCATTGATGTAGTTGCCAGGTTTTCTCCTGATGGAATATCCTTAACAAAGACATTCTCCATTTTATCTTCTCAGTGGCCATAAGAGAGAGAGCTGAGCAGAACATGTAAAGTGCAGGTCACAGTACTTGTGGACATGCTCTGCCTTACTGAGATATGTAGAGCAACAGAGATGAAGGCCCACCAGGCTTAAAAGAAAAGTGGTTGCTTTTAAACTGAAATTTAGTGATTTACTGTGTTTTTCCTGATTTTTTTTGCTATTTTAATAGGCTTTTAGAATTTCTTCAGTAAGACAAATTTAGTCTGTTTATCTAGTAGTAGGAATATTTGAGATTGTCCTGGGTTGAGTGAGTGGTGGAGTTTTTTTGGTGGCAGGGGAGGGGGCTATCGGGGCAGCCCCTGTGAGAAGCTTCTTGAAGCTCCCCCAGCTCCACGTCAGCTCCACTTCTGTTTGGAAACTGAGCCAATCAGCCGCGCCTCTGCGATAACGTATTTAAGAAGGGATGTGGTGACGGGCAGTGGGTCTGGTGAGGAGGAGTTGCTGCAGCTGCATGAACACCAAGGTCAGTGGAGGAACGGAGGAAGAAAGGAGGGGGGAGGTGTGCCGGAGCAGAGACCCCCCTGTATCCTGTGGTGAGACGGCAGGGCGGCCCCCCCTGCCACCCATGAAGATCTACGGTGGAGCAGACATTGATTTATGGCCTGTGGCTTCTGCCTCGTTTATCAAGGTTCTGTGCCCGAAGAAGGCCGGGGTCTTCTGAGAAAAGGCAGCCCCGCTGCTGTAATTCAGCACTGGGAGGATTGCAGCATGCGGGGGTGTCCCACGCCGGAGCAGCTCAGGAAGGGCTGCAGCCGTGGGAGAGAATCCAGTTGGAGAAAGTTAGTGACCCATGACGGAGCAGTGTGGGGAATGCTGCGGCCCATGGGAGAGACTCGTGTTGGAGAAAGTTTGTGGAGGACTGTCTCCTGTGAGAAGGGGGATCACGATGGTTCAAGGGGAAGTTCCAGAAGCTCCCCCCACTGAAGATGGAAAAAGCAGCAGCACTGACTGCACCCCCCATTCCCTGCCCCTGCGCCACTGGGGGAGGAAGTAGAGGTATCAGGAGCAGAACTGAGCCTGGGAAGAAGGGAGCGATGGGGGGAGGGTGTTCTCAAGATGTGGCAATGTTTCTCACTGTCCTACTCTGTTACGTGTTGTTAGTGTCTGTAATAAATGTATGTTCTTTTTTTTCTTCCCCTAACGAGTCTGCCTTTTGCTCGTGACCATAAAGGGGAATTTTTTTTTTTCCCATTCCAGTCCTATCTCAAACCCCAAGCCTGGCTCTCTGTCCCTTCTTATTGCCGGAATGGAAGGGAGAGCAAGTGGCTGTGTGATGGTTGGCTGCTGACCAGGCTCAAACCACGACAGAGATAAAGACCAGAGAGCTGTAACAGGTATAAGGGCTGTATGTTGCTGTATCTTTCAGCAGTCTACTTATCTACTTGTCTCCTCAGGTGTCTGCTTTTCTCTAAGGCAACTCAGCTCTACTGATTCTTGTGTTGCTGCTACTAGACTGCTTCTGCAATCCCACCTATCTTAATTAAGGTTATCCTTATGATATACTATGCTGGCACTGTAGCTGGATAGAACATCTCAAAAGTTATTCTAAAATGGAACATGCAATTTTAGATGATTACAGAGCTAAGTAAATTAAAGTAATGAGTAAACTTCTGAAACCAAAGCTTCTTTAAAAAAATACACTGCAAGTATACTGAAATTATTCTGGTTATTGAAAATGTAACTTAAAAAGCCCATTACTAGGAAACATGATAGCCTGAGACTTATCTGAATCCAACTTCCTGAAGAGTTTGGTATAGCATATTACTATTAAGGAACATTTAAAGTCACAGAACAGTGGGAAAAATATGATTCTATTCATTACATGATTATTTATTCTTGTTAACATGCTGTGAACTTCATTGTGCAGTGAACATTACAATTAAATATGTTAAACACAGAACAGCCATAAATGTTCTTAGTAATAATGGTATTAGTATTAGCTCACTGGTATGCATTTTTGTGAAGTCATGATTTTTATTGGAGAACAATATTCAAGATGCAAATATTTATTGTCCTTTTATAGACAATTGTTCCAATAACTGTTTAGTGAGTACTGGCATCATAGGGAGAAAATTGTGTACCTCAGCTGCTGTCCTGCCTGTGGCTGTAATGAAGTCTCTGTAGTAATCTAATTGCATTGACTTAGCAAAAAAATTGAATTCTAATTGACAATTTAAAGCCAAGTAAATTGTCAGTAAAGACATGCTGACTTAAGCCTGTTGACACTGATATCAAAACTGTTCTTTGTGGCCAAAAAGGAAAAACAGATTCTTCTGAATTATTAAACTTTAAAACACAAAAATTATGTAATCAACTGACTTTATGTACAGTTTGATGGTGAAGTTATTTTTGTATTCTTTCCTTTCGATTTGCAGGGGTGCAAAGGGGTTTCCAACTGTGTTGATTAAGAAACTTGATTTTGGAGTTTTGAGTAGCTCCATTTCTGAAAGTGACCAGGACAAAATCCTTGGCTGAACCAAAAAAGTATCAAACTGTCAGATTAGAATCTTGAAGTCCATGAAATTTGGCACCTCTTCCTGATAGAAGTAGTTGGGTCTCCCTATGTCAATCTGGAGGTAAGTTTTTCAAGTTGGAGATTGAAAAATAAATGAGTAAAGCCACTCCTAAATCATCTTTCACTGTAATGTGGTACTGACTAGGATGTGGCCTAGCCATAGCCAATATAAAATAGGGAACATAAATTTTTTCCAGAAATCTTAGTAGTACCTAAAGCTTGACTGAGGTCCTGCTTAATGTAAGTAATTTCTATGCAGTAATCAGTACCTGATGAGATTAATTTTAAAATTAAGTGCTTTTTAAAAAGAACTGATCTGTGTCTGGTATCCTAGCTGGGATTGTTTTTTAATAGAAGATAAGACTACAGGTGTCAGGTGTTACCCAGGTAAAGGTGTTTGCAGAGGAAGATGCTCTCTCCTTCCAATATTTAGTTCACTAAGAATGCAGCTCTACTAGCTTGTCAGTCTATTCACAGTAGTTAATATGATCCCCACTAACTCAAGATGATACCATCTTTTTCTATTATTTTTGGAAATCAACTGTAGAGTACCAAGTCCTTGCAGAAGAGAAGAAACAATTTATCTGCTTCAGTGCATGCTGGAAGTGACAGCAAGAGCTTTGTGTATAGTTGTTTGGCATTTTAAAAGCTTTCCAAGAAAATCTATCCTTTTATTCATAAAGGCCTTTTCAAGAGATACAAGCCACTTGCTTGCGATCTTCATATGCATTGTTGTAATGAACTTCTTATTGATTTCATCCCAACTCTTGATTTTAGAGTCAAGGTTGGGGTGTAAAGTATTTGTATATTTGCTGTATAAGAAATGTTATGGTTCTTATAGCACTACTTGCTCTGTGTGATAAATTTTTCACTACATATGGTAAACTTCCAACTAAAGTCTATAAAGAAAACAGTAAAATAATATTTCAACTTGTGATGGTCCAACAGAATCACAGTTAATGTCTCAAACTTCTCTGAAGAACTTTGGTAAAGGGAACAGTGTCTATGGGAACACTGGGGCTGTAATGGGAAGATGCAATAAGAAGAGAGGGTCCCATGGAGGTGGGACTGCACTTTTCTGAGACCAGACTTCCCTACCTTGAGCACATAAAGAGCCAATAGTGAAGCTGTTTTCATGATGCATGTGCTGAGAAGAAAGGTCAGACACTTGTTATACCTGCAGGGAGGGGACACTAACTCCCCAGAGACCCCCAAGCCCACTGACCCTTTTCCAGAAGACTCTGAAGGTACAAACTATGCATCCACCAAAGCCAGGAGAATTCTAGAAGCATAGATTGCTTAATTAGACTAATGAGTCTGAGTACCTGCTTAGAGGAGTATTAAGGGATTATAAAAGGATGAGAGTCAAAGCTCTAAGAGGCAGCACCCCTCCAGAACTGGACATTTAGGCTGTCTAGACCATGCTGGAACCAGGACTGGTGAAATATTTCCTTTTGTCTCTCTCCTTTTCTTACTCTCTTTTCCTCTTTCTCTCTCCTTTTCTTTCCTATTTATCGCTATATCCCTGCATATACAGCAAAGGTTGTCCGGGAATGTTTAAGGCTTGTCAGGGAATGTGTACTTCGTGGTTTGTCAGTGTAAGTTGTGGGATTTTACCGCTTGTTGCAGTGGTAGCAAGGTTTACTGACAAACTTTCAAGTCGGTATCTGTTGTGAACAAATAAAAATCTAGGTTTTTTGAGTTAAAGAATGCTTGGTGTCATTTCACCTTAATCCTGACCTGGGAATCAGCAAATCTGAGTTGCCGTCCTGAGAAACTGGGATGTGACACAACTGTAAGGTTAATTAATGCCACATACTGTATAGAATGGAAGAAAAATGAATGACCAACTGTAGTGTCATACAAAAAGAGAGCTGTCCAAGGCATGAGCTGCTGGCAAGAGGCTGTGTTAGTGTCAGGGTGAGTGGAGAGAGCCAGCTGGTTCTGGTAAATCATCTGTATAGTGTCCTGAGCTATTAGTAGTTATGAGCACATTGCTTTTTGATTTTTTTTTCCTCTAAATGCTGATGCGAAGAATTTTCCCTTCTAGCTATAGTTTTTCTTCTGTCTCTTCAAGCCTACAGCTCATCTGATTGGTAATACATTCCTTACAAACGCAAATCGTTATTGGGTCTAGATGTTGTCATACTGTATTTTCATATTTTAAAATTCCTTTATGTTTTTCATTCTGTCTTTGAATTAAGACAGTAATGTACAGAGAATCAATCAATAATGAAAATGTCTAATAGCAGTGTCATGTGGCAGACTACAATTACAATTCTTGAGGTAACAAAAATTATATTGGTTTTCAGCTTACCTGTTTCATGATGTGAGTAGTAAAGTTTCCGATTTGCATCTGTCAAATTAGATGTTGATTTCTTAGATTTCTTTAATATAGCTAAGTATTTGCTGTGATAATACTTTGTCAGACTTGAAAATTGCTTGTAGATTTAAATAATAATTTTCCATTTATAATATAATAATCATCAAATTGTTCCAAGAAGTAGATTTCTACCACCATTAAGGTTATTTTCCTACTTAAGTCTTGATATACCTATGTTGGTAATTCCTTTTTAATAAGAAATATCACAAAAGAATTGAAGTCTCAAAAAAACAGTCATGGAAAGAAGTAATGATTTTATTTTAGTTTCATATATAAATATAGCAGATAAAATAACTATGTTGAAGTTCTAAATGTTGAATGTTCTAAAAAATGTTGGAAGTTCTTAAATACAAAAGAAGAATTTTTCTGTCTCCCCCAAGGTATGGGTAAATGTCTGATGGCATCCATCTCCATTTTATTGGGAGTTTGTTCAAATGGATGAATTCTAATGGATTGATATGCTTGCAATAAGAGCACTCTTCATTAAAAATTTCATACCGCTTTTAAGTATTGTATTGATGTTTCAGACATACTCGGTTTTTCTGTTCTGCACCCTTGGGAATGCAGGCAGGTTTTATTAAACATTTTTAAAAAGATCTGTTGCTGCATAATATTTTTCTTAAAGGTAGGAGTATGAAAGCTTGGTTAATAGCAAGAACTGTCAAATGAAATGTATTAACTCAAGGTAGCAGAAAATCTGGGTAAGATTAGAGAGCGCTGTGGGTCTCTAAGCAATATGAGTTATATTATTTGCTGCAGGGACTGTGGAACTCTTGAGACCTTCAACTTGAGCTTCTCAGAAAGCTAAAAAGAAATTGGGAGAGAACATGAACTAGAACAACTGACTTTTCACCAACTTTCATTGTAATGCCCCCAAACTTGTATTGCCTCTAAAACAGAAAAAAATCTCCAACAGTAATGCCAAATGGAAGGCAGGCAAAAGGAGTGAGACTTAAGTGATTCAGTTCATCAGTTTTTCACTAGTTTGCTCATTGTCTGTAGACAAGTTTCTCTCTCCCTCCCTGGGCTTCTATTCCTGATATGTACAATAATGCTGACATAGATCTTGTTTGGTGTAAAGAACTTTGCTTGCTTGAGACATAGATTTGTGATAGGAAAAACCCTGGAGTCCCAGCCTTAAGTAAAAGAGAAGAATGCTTGTTTTAGATCTGCAGAAAATTGTAGTTATCCTGGCAAATCATTTATGAAGTTTCTTTTTTCCCTCCTACATTCATCCACCCCCAGAGATACCAGTTTTCTATTAGACTGCCTGATTTTCAAACATGGAGAACCCACATCAAACTGTGTAAAATCTGTCTGATAACTCCTGTTGTTTCTGTTAAATAAAATCATACTTTTCTGTAGTCATCTTCGTTTCTTAAAGCATCTTGTGCTTTGGTCAAAGGTATTTCACCCAGTTCAGCCTTCCACCTGTTTCAGCTGCTGGAGGTGATCTTCCTAAGAGCTCCTTAGTGCATCATGGAGAAGCTACTGCAATAATCTTGGTTTTTATTTGGTCAACCATACTTTGAGAAGATTTTTTGAAATGCCCTAGTAATATGCTGTTACCTTATATCACCCCACCTCTACCATTTAAGATTATTTTATCTAAATGTATCTTTTACCACTATTTTTGTGTGTGTGTGCAAAATGGTAAAGAACCTACCTCTTAACCTATTTATTTGTATTCTTGGGTGACTTTTTAAAAAATGTAGGATGAATGGAATCAACATAGGTTTTAGAGTATATGTAGCGCTGATCCAGAAATAAAAATCCTATTTTTTCTTCAAAATACACAAAATAATATAATTTTCTTTTCACAAAATAAGAAAGCTGGAGGTTTAATTGCCTGACCAGATGTTAACAGCAAATATTGAATTGTTTCTCCTATTTGACTAATCATTTTTAATTAGGAACCATCATCCTTTTATTTCTTAGTTTTGAATCTGATTCTTCTTTTGTAGCACTTAGAAAAGAGCCATTAGCCATTAAGACAGATTCATATTTGTCTAGAGAATTATTTGCAAGGCATAATTGTGTTCTAAACAATTTTTGTTAAGACTTGTTTAAGTAGCCTGATACCCTAACTTCAGGAATTATACCAAAAATCTCACCCTCTAGATTTAGTACATTTGCTCGTTGTATTCACTTTCATTCTTTTACTTTGAAAATTTACCTTTGTAAATTTTTTTTTGCCTCTGATTTTCCCAGACTAAAATAAACTTTGAAAATGTAAAATGCCTCTGCTCCATTCTTTAGCTACTTTTATTCTAAGATAACTGTTCCAATAGTACATAATGGCCCTAAAATAGCAATAGTTTAAAAGTCATTGGCTTGATTGTGATCTAGTTTTCATGTTGTGTGCTTATGCTTGCTCAGATTCACCTGTGCTTAGTGAATATGCACAATCATATTTTTTATGGTACTGAAAAAGATCAAAAGGTGTAGGAGTAGCCAAAAAATAAAATTAAAAATTGCAAAATATATTTAGGTACAGTTGTGATGTGACTAAATAGTGTGGAGTGTTATAGTATTTTCCTTTCTCTTGTTTATGATACTTGCTCAGTGCAGTGTAATTTCTGTGTAGTTACTGAATAATGTATCCCATATTACTTGGGACTTGAATTAGAAATCTCATTCATTATCAGAGCACAGGGGTTATTTTTAATTTCTTTATCATGTGGCTTTGGGTTGCTTATGACTTTGTGTATATATGCATGTGTGCGCCATGGATTTACCAGTTTAAGATACTAACACTGAAACCCTTCAAATATTTAATGGAATACTTCTGTAACTTAATTATTTTTGATTTGAGACCCTCAAACATCCTAATGTCAGAAATGCAGGTAAATTTTCAAACAATAGAACTTGTCTTATCTTGGAATGTTGTCACCAGTCATTTCATATTTACAATAACTGAGTAATGGAATAGCATTAAGTGTATAATGCAGTCAGATTTTTTTAAATGTCCATTTAATAATAATTCATCAATAAGATCTGTCAGTCGCCTAGTTTAGAATATATATTTTTATAATGTATTTTGAAAGTCCAATAGGATGAAATAGCAACTCAGTCATCAAAAGTTTGTGTGTATGTTTGTATGTATTTCTATGTTCTACATATATAAATATTTACTCATAAATACCTGTGTCTGTGCATTTTTATATATGAAGTACATGTGCACTTTATCAATCAGGATTCTTGGCAAAAACTTCTCAGTTTTTTTTAGGTATGACTAGCTTTTGACAGACATTCTGTCATACTGCATGATTTAGCAAGGCTCGTGCAAGTCACTTTTAAAAAATACTTTAACTTATGTGTCCTTCTTGTGTTCTGGAATTTCTTTGCCTTTTAATGATTTACAAAAACACAGAGTTCACAGCAGTTCCTCCTCAGTTAAAAGTACTTATCTGAAGTAGATATTGTCTAATATCTTTTCAGTTAATGGTGATAAAAACATGATACAAAATGGAGATATTATCAAACATTTGTATGATTATTGTCTTAGTACTTTTAATATCTCCAGGTACTAATTACTAGACCAACTAGGATTTGTTTTGGTTTTCAGTAGTTTAAAAATCAGCTGATTATGTTTTACATGAGTATACAAATCAGTAGTAAGAGCGCTGCCAATAACTGTAAATGGCCAGATTAATAACCCTAAAAAATAAGACAAACTGACAATAATATTTTTATAGTCATAGCAAATGGCAAATTCTTTGGGGCCTGTTTAATATGCATATATATTTATTTCTTAGAAAACGGAGGCCTTGATCCTTATGGGTGGTTGGGAAGAATTGATTTTACATGAATAGGGTCTGACCAAATTGCCTGAGTTCTGAAGGCAGCTGGTGGTGTGTGGTTTTATATTGAACAGTTTCAGAATTAAAATTTTTATTTTGTTTTTTGACTAGAAAAAAAGATTCAAGAGATTTAAGAAAAAAATAGCTTGTAGATGATTGTGGTAGGTTGACCTTGGCTATCCACCAGATGCCCACAAAACCTCTCTATCACTCCCCCTCCTCAACTGGACAGGGGGAGAGAAAATAAGACAAAAGGCTCATCAGTCAAGATAAGGACAGAAAGATCACTCAGGACTTCTGTCACAGGCAAAACAGACTTGGGGAAATAAATTTAACTTATTGACAATTAATAAGAGAGTATCGTATCATAGAATACCAGGTTGGAAGCAACCTCAAGGATCATCTGGTCCAAACTTCCTTGGAAAAAGCATGGTCTAGACAAAATGGCCCAGCACCCTGCTCAGCTGAACCTCAAAAGTGTCCAATGTTGGGAAATCCACCACTTCCCTGGGGAGAATATTTCAATGGCTGATTGTTCTCATTGTGAAAAATGTTCCTCTTGTGTCCAGTTGGAATGTCCCCAGAAGTAACTTGTACCCATTACCCCTTGGCTTTTCCATGTGACTCCTTATAAAAAGGGAGTCTCCACCTTCTTTGTAGCCACCCTTTAAATACTGGAACATGGTGATAAGGTTTCCCCTAAGCCTTCTCTTCTCAAGACTGAACAAACCCAGTTCTCTCATCCTTTCCTCACATGGCAGGCTTCCCAGTTCTCTGATCATCTTTGTGTCCTTCCTCTGGACCCTCTCCAGCCTGGAACATCTTTTTTTCTATAGCAGGGACAAAAACTGAACACAGCATTCCAGGTGAGGCCTGACAAGTGTTGAGTAGAGTGGGATAGTGTCTTCTTTATCTCTGCTGGTGTTGCCCTTGCTGATGCAGCCCAGCATCCTGTTGACTTTCTTTTCTGCAGCAGCGCACTGTTCACTCACATTGAGCTTGTTGTCCACCAGGACACCCAGGTCCCTTTTCACAGAGCTGCTCCCCAGCCAGGCAGATCCCAGCCTGTGCAACATTCCTGGATTATGTTTTCCCAAGTGCAAGACCTTACACTTGTCCTTGTTGAACTTCATAAGGTTCTTGTTAGCCCACTCTTCCAGCCTATCCAGGTCTTCCTGGAGGGTGGCTCTCCCTTCCAAAGTGTCCACTTCCTCAATTGATTTGGTATCATTGGCAAACTTTGTCAGCGTACACTTGATCCCATCATCCAGATCACTTATGGAAATACTGAACAGCATTATGCCCAATATTGATTTGTACGGGACCCAGGGATCGTAGAACGAGAGTAGTATAATGAAGAATAAGAACAAATTTTAAAACACCTTCCTTCCACCCCTCCCTTCTTCCCAGGCTCAACTTCACTCCGTTTTCTCTACCTCCTGCCCCTGAGCAGTGCATGGGGATGGGGAACAGGCATTGTAGTCTGTTCATCACACATTGTCTCAGTCTCCTTCCTCCTCAGGGGGAGGACTACTCACACACTTCCCCTGCTCCAGTGTAGGGTCACTCCCACAGGAGACAGTCCTTTGTGAACTTCTGCAACATGCATGCTTCCCACAGGCTGCAGTTTTGTGAACTGCTCCAATCTGGGTCCTTTCCACAGGGTGCAGTCCTTCAGGAATGGACTGGTCCAGCATGGATCCCCCCATGGGACCACAGGTCCTTCCAGAAAACCTGCTCCTCCAGTGTGGTCTCCTCTTCATGGGTTCAGAGGTTCTGTCAGGAGCCTGCTCCAGCACAGGTTCTCTGCGGGGTCACAGACTCTGGCATGTCCACCTGCTCTGGCGTGGGGTCCTTCACAGGCGGTAGGTGGATGTCTGCTCAACCCTTAGCCTCCATGGGCTGCGGGGGGACAACCTGCATCACCAAGTCTCACTCAACGGAACAGTATACACCGAGGGAACTAACTGATGTCTGGCTGTGTTGATGGAATAAAATGCAATTGTATTGAATGATTGTGTTGCAAAGGGCGTATTTCATGGTGCCACCTTCATATTTTAGGGGCAATGCTGCTACTGGCATTCTCACAATCTGGAAGTTGACTTTTCAACTATTTTTAATGGTAATAATTGTTTTGTAAGTAATACATAAACCAAGGTCACCGGACAATGGTAATGGTGTAAAAAATACTGATTGTTTTAAATCAAAAAATGTAATCATGCATTGCATTTTTTGTTATAATGGCTGGCTGAATAAATGTTTAGAAACTCATTATAAGGAGGAATATGATTAACCCTTTTGTACATTCAGTTTCTGAATCAATAATTCAGACACAGCTAGGATGGTTACTGACACAATATGATAAGGGGTTGGTCTAAGGTCTTGAAGTCTGGTGAGACTACTTTGTGAACATTGAGCAATGTCGTTGAGGGACTTCTTGTTTGTAAAGCTTTCCTATGTAAATAAACTGCTGAACATTACATTTAATTGAAATTACAGGCAAAGAGAAGCAATTCTGATTGAAAAGAATAAGAATAACAAAATGCCTGTTTACTAGCTTATTTAAACCTGCTTTGTAAATTGATTATTTCTGTTTTGAATTATTTCAAGAGTTTTGATTTGAGTAAATATCTAGTAATACAGACGTTTAAATAAATTGTTTTGAGCTTTAAATTTAAAAAATCTTATGAAATCAACACTTTGATACTTCAAATGGATTTTATGGTTTTGGTTTGTTTTTTTTTTTTATTTATAGTTGAATCAACTGACCTACTTTTGTGTATTTTTTACTTTTAGTGAAAAGAAAGACAGTTTCTAAGCGTAAAACTGATTGTTCTATCTAGTTAATAAATTTGTTGGGGTTTTGTTTGTTTGGGGTATTTCTTTGTTTTGTGTTTGGGGGGTTTCTTCCTTCTCCTGAGCACAAAGACTGTTAGACCAATCTTTTTATTGGGCATGTTTCAGGAAGAACTTTTACATAAACAAAATGAGATTGCTTTAATTTCATTTTTAAATCATGGAGAAAAGTTAATACCTTCCAATCTAAAGGCAATGTGGTAGCTCAATATGAATATAAATATCTGTAAAAGAAAGTTAAGGATGTAGAAAATCCTAAATGGGTCTCTCATTAAATGTCATAAACATTTTTGCTCTAAAGAAGAATTAATGATGACTTTTAATGTCTTTTTTCTTTTTGTATGAAAGAGTATGCTGGTTTTGGTTACAAGCTGATATGTAGAAAAATACCTTTAGCTCAGCCAAAATCAGTGCAAAAAATGTTACATGACTTTTTTCTCCAAAAACATATTTTCCTGAATGACCTCATAAGGGGCCATAAAACAGTCTTCATAAATAGATAGTAAGATAAATACAAGGATTACACTGATTTTTTTTTACATCTTTTGCTGATAAATTTGAAATGTAAATCCAATTTGAAATATCAAACCAAATGTTTAATTTGAATTAATGAAAACCACCAAAATCTTAATAAATGCCTAGTAAAAATGACTTTGTTGTTTATGATCAATGAATGTACTGCTTCTGTGCCCATAGAAACTAATTTTCTACACATTCTCAGGTAATCTTCATGTAATAAAATCTATGAAAAACAAACCTCTCATTTTCTTACATATACTTACATCTTTCTTTTCCAGATGACACGAGAGCAGTATATATTAGCAACACAACAGAACAGCCTTCCAAGGACTGAACATCCTCAGTTTTACCCAGTAGGGATTTATGGATGGCGAAAGAGGTGCTTATACTTCTTTGTCCTTCTGCTCTTGGTTACCATGATTGTTAACTTAGCAATGACAGTATGGATTTTGAAGGTTATGAATTTCACAGTGGTAAGTATCACAGTAACTTTGTGTATCCTGTTTCTTAAAGTAATGACTTGTAGTTTTAGTTCTCTTTCCTTTACCATGTTATATACAAATCTTGTAATTTTAGATTAACTATCATAGATACTTCTTTGAGTGTTACATCAGATATTTGTGCTTTCTGTGTATATTCTGTAGTGAGTGGACCTGTGCCCTATCTATTCAGATATTTTTCGTTAATCATATCTGCTGAAAATATATCTGGATCTTAGATTTTTTTCTTTGCCCAACCAAAAGCATGATAGTGACTGCTCTGAGCATCTCTTTGTTGCTTGTCACCACTGATAGCAATCAGTAGTTTACTAAGTCTGTTCTGCATGGTATCTCTCTTAGGAGGAAGCTGGGTTAGTTAGGTCAACTTAGGGTGCCTTTTTTGGTTTATGTTGTTCTTATTTTTTTTTTTTTTTAGAATTTACTGACCATTTGAACTGTGTTTCACTTAGAGTAGCTGTTTTGATGTTGATAAGAGCGGTTAGGTGAATATAAAAGCTACAGAATTTTATGAGACAGCCTCCATCTGGAACCTTCAATAGCATCCAAGTGTTACTGAGTCTATATTTCAGATGTACACCTGAAAGTATATCTGTGTTCAGTGGAAAATCAAGAGCATCTGCCCAGCTGTTGCCAAAGCTTTGTTTGGATAAAGGTGGTAGAAGTACTCACTAGTTGGCAGTGAATTAGTGTCTTTTTGTATACCAAAAGAAAACACAGAAAACTCCACAGTTTAAAATAGCAGTGCTTCTCCTAGGATCAGAGTGGTCTCTGTCTGGATTTTGACCTTCATAAGACATGTTTTGGTGTAGCTAGTAACACATTTCTAATTCCTACAGTAGGACATTTTTATTCTCCATTAGTTTATTGGAAATAAAAAATAGACAACAAAACCAGCCTTAAACATATGTCTAAAATTGTTCCATAACTGCTAATGCTCCACAATGCATAGAGTTATCTGACATAGTTGCCTGGAGTGATGTATTGTGCAAATACATTGCTATTTCTGAGTTGCAACTCGTGGATGAATATGTTGGATTAATATTTTGACAATTGTATGACTTCAATATTCATGCACTGAAGAGTTTGTTAGAAGTTTGAGGGGTTATTTTGCTTCAATTTTTTGTTTGGTTTGTTTTTTTCTTTTCTTTTTAGCATAATGTACTTGCAAAATAGGACATCCACATATGTTTTTGCTATTTGCATTAGAAGCATATTTAGGCATACATGTTGACTTCAGTAAAATGGTCTGCTCTTACTCCAGAGGAGCGTTAAGCATGGAAATTTAAATATGTTAATAAGATATTTTTAAAAGTACAGAATTTTTCTTTGTGCAGAAGATTGCATTTCAATACAATATTTGAAACTACTGTCTCCATATCTAGGCAATCTTTGACCTTCCATGCTACAAGCTACTATAGCATTATCCAGTTTAAAACTCTTACTGTTTGAACATACAATCTTTTTTAAAACAAAACCAAAAAAAGATGTTTTGAAATATTTTTCTTTTCCACATGTCAAAGCTTTGTTAGAAAGTTAAGGGCTTATGGTGAATCACTAAATCAGTGAAGGAATCTAGTGCAGGAGACAAGCAGGTTGTTTTAGCAGTTGTGCTTACTAGTTGATGGACTGAAGACCTTGCATCAATAGTTTGAGATGTATGTATCTGAAATAATTATGCAAATACTGGCTTACTAATTTCACAAAAATAGTTTTTGAAATGTTACCTACTTGTTTCATAATGTCATTTCATTATAACAATTCAGAAATCACAAAGTTTATGTTCATTGTTATAAATACAGATAAATGCTATGCCACTGAATAGTGTGATTTAATCTTTAACCCTCCTGTTACAGAATTAAAATTAATCTTGTATATTCACATTTATCATAGTCATATATACCAGTAAGCAATTTAGAAAACAAAAGTGGAACATATCACTCCTCTTTCATATGAAAAGCCCCCCAAAATACTGCAGATGCCTGGGATCACTGTTCAGTTTGGAATATCATATACTCCTTAGATACTCAGAAATGAAAGTTCCTACTTAACAGTTTGTTATGAGCAATCTGTAAAAATTACTGTTTCCAAGTGATTTTGTACTTAAAAAGGATATCAGAAGTATTTTATTTAATGATCATACTGCCACCAGATCATTCTTACTCAAATTTATATGTAGTATACCCTTGTTGACATAAAATTATTAAACATTATTATTTCAATGACAAAATATTTCATGCTTTTGTTTAATGAAATGTACTGGTTTAGGAGTGATTTGTTTTTATCTTCCAACTTTTATATAAAATTATGGAATGCTCTGTGGTTACACAGTTGCAGAAAACAGAATCCATAGGCATATAAAAAGTTCAGTAAAATCTTCACGCTTATGTCCACACATGTACATTTGAACACCAGTGGGAAACTTGTATCAAGTTTGAAGGAGTCACATTCTTACTGACAGATGTCTAAGAGTAAAATAATTTATTTTATAAACCTAAACTTCATGTATTTAAAGAATTCAATAGCTTTGAATATCTTCTATGTGCACGTATATATAGATAGATAGATATAGACAAGAAATAGTATTTGTATATCTGGGCAGTGATAGGAAATATGAAGTGCAGCTAGAAACCTTTTGAAAAGGAAAATGCTTTTGCTAAACTGGTTTAAAGAGTATTTGCACAAAAGTTGAATCTAGCCATGACAAAATAATTGTTGAAATTGAACTGCTTTGACATTTTGACATTATTTTAAATTATTTGTTGTTTTAGCATTGCACCACTTCAAGGGGTCGTGAAAAGCTAGGGCATGGGTTTGTCATTGCTGGCTGACAATTGCATCGATGTTAATTTCTATTAGCTGTTGACTTTCTATTTTTAACTGTACAGCTGCAGTCACATTGCAATTGGCACAATAAAAGCCTTTCCGAGTTCAATTTGTAGATTCTCCAGTTGAGAAAGTTTTCTGAATATACTGACCTTGCATGTAAGATTCACATTCTGAATCTGAGCTAGTTATCCCATGCTTTTTTTATACAAGGAGAGGAGAAATAGGGTCTCCTGTAAGGCCATTCATCTCATAGTAAGACAGGCAACTAAAGTGAATTGTCCTTAAGAACAGATGTTGAATAGTTCATCAAAGAAATAATTAAAAAGGAAATCTGGTTTATTTGCAACTGTGTAAAAACATAGTACGGGAAAATTGTGCAAGTGTCCTTTTATCAGATTAAGTAGTATAGCTGGGAAAGGTAGAAAAACTTTTGGGTATGCAATCTCTTCTTGCAGTGTACAATGTAAGAAAGATACTTCAAAAGTAAATACAAGTTACAAATAATTTCCCTGATATAACATGCATTAGACAAGCAAAACTGAAGATAATTAGCATCTGTGTAGCGGAAGGAGTATTAGATGGAAGAATCAGAGTTGTAGTAATAATTTTTTGAAAGACATTCCCCCACTGGTAGCTTAGCGTTTTTGTTTTTAATGTCTAGTCAAGATCTGTTATCTCACTGTCTGATAGTTTGTCTAGAAAGATACATGTGAAAGCATGTAAGAACTTCGGGACAAAGAAATCCCTAAACATTCCCACTGATAGATGCATGTAGCTGTAGCACACCATCCTATCCCAGGTCTACGTGGAAAATAATAATTCAGGAGTAGGCTATAGTAGAGAAAGATCTGGCCTTGAACTAAATGTTCTGCCAATAACAGCTCTGAAATAATCCCAGGGCTAAACTTGTCATTGGAATAAAAATTTGTTGCCTTGTGTGCATCAAGTGGATCTACTCTGTCCTTAGTGGTAAGGATAAAATAATTTTATAGACTTTACAATATAATATCCCTTAATGGAACCATCAAAATCTAAATCACATTCTTGAACTTCAGACTTCTCTATTGTATGAAATTCTTTCCTAAAAAGTAAACAACTGCTGTCTTCAAAAACAAACTCAACTTTCCTCATGTCTCTTAAGCCTGATCTTCAAAGGAGACATACAAAACACCTTGGAAAAATCAAGCTGGGAACTGAAATCTGTAGCTTTTGTCAATATCAAAATAATAGACCTAGGAAACTTGAATTTAATGGAATATTTATAATTTCCTTTCTTTGTACTAACCTTGTCATTTGTTAAAGGATGGCAAGGAAATAAATGTTTTTTACAGTGCCTGCATTCTTGTCATAATGTATTTGTATGGTCCATAGCATAGGTAATTAGTTTACTTTATCTTTAAAGATTTAATCACTTGAACATTATTCTCTGATACAATTTCTATCTTTTGTCATCCTTAAGTTGTTCTAACTTCAATAGAACTATAATTGTATATAATTTATTCTTCATATAGCTGTTAACAAATAAAGTATATTGGCAGTCTGTCAGTCTGATTACTTACTCTGTAAAATGAGATTTACCTCACATTTTTGTCACTAAACAAATACCAGTGTAGAAATATGCAGCTGAAAGTTTTCTGCAGGTATTTCAAACTACAGATTTAAAAAAGAAAAAGTATTCTTAGTGCTGTGAAGTTACATTGTGAAGTGACATGGGGCAATCATCATAGAAACCTATGTCCCCTTTTTAGTGGAGGAGGTATTTAATATCTGTGCATGTATGCATTTTCTATTATGTACACAATTAGCATTGATATTGGCATTTACTTGATATTACATTATTCTGTTGCTTATTACATAACATTGAGATTTGGACTTTACAAAGCCTCAAAAAATTGTAATGGTAGGAAAAATGCAAATATGAACTGCTTTAGTTCTTAGGATCTCTTTTGGGTTGGCCTATATCTCAGACACATATCCTAGGAAGTATCAGCACCAGATTGTTTTACTGGTTTTGGTTGTACATTTGGTTTTGTGTGTCTCCATATTCTGCTTTCTACTTAGGAATTGATGTATGAAAAGGCATACTTTGTTATCCCTCTAAGAATGCAGTCACCTAAACCAAATATTTTCTCTTGCTGTAGTTACGG